AATTGGACACGTATCGCGTCTTCCGATTTACACAATATCTGTTGGACATAGTCGACGTTAGGTAATGATGAGAGGAAGAGAGAAAGAGAGAGAATAAAAGCGGCGCGGTTCCTTTATCATGCAGCCATATCTCATTCAAATCGATTCTCACCTAGAATCACATTTTCCTTTGAAATCCACCCTCGCGCGTGTATCAGCATCTATGGTCGCGATTCTTCTCTTCCATTTATAATCCAATTGTTGAACGTCAGTTTCAATGGAGCCCCGTTTCCACTTTGAATCCACTCCACGGGCGGATCCGCCTTTTCCCCGGGATGCTGGTTTGAACGGTTTCGCGACAACGCAGTCTGCGCAATGCCGTCCGATACAGTTGTCTCTCCACGCGCCTGTCCATCCCATGTATCGATGGTTTTCAACGAATCTGATTTATATGATCGCCGTCTTTCTCCACCATCGTTGTCGTCGTCGTCCGCCATACGCTCTTTCCAGAACGTATGTCAATTTCACATAGCGGTGCATCCACGGGACGTGAATCGTGAAGATCGGTAACGTTTCCGCCAGGCTCAGCGAGTTTCCAGTTTGTGCTCGCCGAATTTCCTTTCTCTCCGTCGCAATTCGTGCACCATTCGACTCCATCTGGAGAATATTCATCGGCTTCTGTTGCGAATTCAAGCGCGATATCAGATTCGAATTGCTCGACCTCTTCTCTTTGATGCTTCTTCGGAAGAACAGAATTTTCGAATAGTTTTGTCATTCGTGATATCAGGAGACAACGGTCGTGTTGTATATTTATGTTAGAATTGCACTCGTTTGAGTCACAGAAACATCGGTAGCTCTTCGAGCGTATATTCAGGATAACAGTACTCGGCCATTCAATCAGTTTGCATCTCGGCATTGAAATCAAAACCATCTGTATTGTAATCCTTCCGACCACAAATGTGATATTCTTGATGTGTATCGTTAAAAATTGAATAGCAGTAGTTTGTAGTACATTTCCCTGTGTCGACACATGTTTCGTCTGTGTTCAATATCGGATATCGTATGTTATCAATATCAATCATCAATATCAATATTATCGTGATGACAGCATTGCATTGAATTTCATGAGGCATACAAAGCGACTGCATATTATTTTTTACATGTAACTTTTGTTGCCCAATGTATTTTTTAATTTTTTTGGTGCATTGATAGTCGGATTGGCACTTTTATGTAATATGTTATTCATTGACTTTCTCGAATAATTTCTATATTTGTTTTTTGTTGACCTCTGAGTTTTCTTCACTTTGTTACCATTTTCCAAACAAAGCACGGTCAGTAAAGAATGGTCGATCATTTTCTTCATCACTTTTCTTGGAATGCGATTCCACGTTGAATATTGTTTCCTAAAAAAGATTGACATACATGGGGTTTTTAAAGAATTTAGAAACTCTTTAAATATCTATCTCTGTTCGTTGTAGAAAAAATTCATACCTAGGTACTGCGACAAATTTCATTTCAGGTACTAGATTATGCGTGGAAATAATGCTGATTTTTATGCCGCCACAGGAAGTGCCATATGCATTATTGCTAATCAATAATCACACCATCGGGTATTTTGCGATGTGTTTTTCTTTTATGATTCGATTTGCATTGAGATTCATCTTCGTTCTTTGAAGGAGTTCTGTCATTTTTGACTGTTTCCTTGCAAGATTCCTTTTGTATTGCGTTTTCGCGCCTAGAAGATACACACGTTTCAGAGTAATCGTTCAGAGCTTCGGTCATGAGTTCGTTGCGAGCTCATCAATCTTTCTCTGATCCAATTTAAAAGCGCACATATTTCATTTAAAGAACCGTCTCTATAACTTTTATCCAGTGACTTGTTGTCTTCTTGCGATATGAAATCGCAGACGTTATATGTTGCACCAGAATATATTATAGAAATGGGCTATTTTTGTATCTGCAATTTTTGTTTCCATCTTGTGACAGATCTGTCGGTAGTTCGGCTATCAAGATTTCTGATCGAATGAGCTGCTCAATATGGCAGCTGTAAAATTGACAAACAAGTGGATTACGATTATAATATTGAATTATAATAATTATAATATTAAATTGTTACGCAATAATTAATTGGATAATCAGAGCAATAATTATTGGGTCATCTAAAAAGTATCCGCGGTTTTTTGTCACTAGTGTTGATGGTCATATATCGGGCAACATTAATCCGATTGTGTCAAACGAACGCGCGTTTGAAAGATGACATTTTAGGTTACATTTTTTGTAAACAAAGTTTGATGATTCATCAATCGTGTCAAAAGTTATATTGATTTGAAAATGAGTGAAATATCTGAAGAAATACGCTATGTGATGCTTTTTTACTATAAAAAAGGCAAAAACGCAGCACAAACATGCAGACAAATTTGTGAAGTTTACGGCGCGGATGCTGTAAGTGAACGCAGGACGCAGGAGGTTTGTTCGATTTCGTTCTGCAAATTTTGTTGATGTCAAAGATCGACCTCGCTCTGGTCGGCCAGTCATTGAAAAAGTCGATGAAATTTTGCAACTGATCAAGCAAGACCGACATGTGAGCTGTCAGGAGATAGCCAATGCACTAAGAATCAACCATATGACAGTTTGGAATCATTTGAAAAAGGCTGGCTACGCAAAGAAACTCGATGTTTGGGTGCCACATGAATTAACGCAAAGAAATTTGATTGATCGAATTTCCATCAGCGAAACACTACTAAAACGCAATGAAATCGATCCATTTCTGAAGTAAATCATCACAGGCGATGAAAAATGGGTGAAATACAAGAATATTGTTCGTAAAAGATCATGGAATAAGCGCGGCGAACCACCACAAACGACTTCAAAGCCTGGATTGATGGCAAATAAGGTGATGCTGTGTATATGGTGGGATTGGAAGGGAATCGTCCATCATGTTACTACATGGCCTAACGATTAATTCAGAGCTCTACTGTTCACAACTGGATAGATTACAGGAAGCGATTAAGGAAAAACGACCAGAATTGATTAACAGAAAAAGTGTTGTCTTCCATCATAACAACGCCAGACCACACACATCTTTGATGACGCGCCAAAAATTGAGGGAGCTTGGTTGGGAAGTTTTGATCACCGTATAGCCCGGACCTTGCACCGTCTGACTACCATTTGTTTCGATCTCTGCAGAACTCTCTTGATGGAAAAACATTGGCCGACAAAAGAGCTGCAGAAAATCACTTGAAAAAGTTTTTCGCCGATAAACCACAAAAGTTCTACACTGATGGAATTATGAAATTACCCGAAAAGTGGCAAAAGGTTATAGATAATAATGGCCAATATATACTTGATTAAAATTGATTTTCAATAAAGAAAAATTTCATTCAAAAATTGAACAAAAAATCGCGGATACTTTTTAGATGACTCAATATTTGCAAAATCTGTAATAGAGACTGGAAATAGTGCAAAAATATAATAACTTAGAATGATAATGAGAAACGCAGAATTGTGAAATCGCATGTCGATGCTTAAACGATAATTAAGTAGTAATTGTCATATGCTAAATTAAGTAGTGATTGCCATACATTATTGTATCGATTATGCTGCTCATATTTCATTCAAAAATTGAACAAAAAATCGCGGATACTTTTTAGATGACTCAATATTTGCAAAATCTGTAATAGAGACTGGAAATAGTGCAAAAATATAATAACTTAGAATGATAATGAGAAACGCAGAATTGTGAAATCGCATGTCGATGCTTAAACGATAATTAAGTAGTAATTGTT